GCAGGGCCCGCGCTCCTCACGGACGGCGGCCTGTATTTATTATTAATTAATTATTATTAATTATTATTATTACACGGTCTACGCAGTTTTTAGGCATCTCCGTTAGGATTTTCTAATTTTATTTTACAAGGCACAAACTATAGCTCTTAGTTGAATGTCGCCAGGTATGCTTTCTCTTTTTCCGTGTCTTTCTACAACTGTGTTCTGTGACTCAACTGTATAGTGTTAATATCAGTACAGACTTGTCTAGTTGACCGTATAAATAATGTTTTCCCTTCTCGTAGTCTCTATGGCGTGTCTTTATAGAGAAATAAGGTTCTCACGGGTTCAGTTCCCTTTGCGTTTAGAGAGACCAGGTTCAGGCAATTATATATATTTTTATTACTGGTTGCATGTCGTCTCATTTTTTTCTTTTCCCTACCTGTTGGAATATGTTTGTGAGCATAATGATCATAAATTATGTTCAGGGTTTCCAGATTTATTTATATGTGGTTAAAATGAATGCTTCTATTTAAAAGGGGAAATATTTCTACATGTGCATATAGTTTTCCAAGAGTGTACCATTAATTGATTGTTGATAATAAAAGCCAAAATCAAACATAGTTACGGTGATCTTCTTACTTCTTGTTAGGGCTTCAGTTGTTGGGAGGTCTCGGGGTTGTTTCTGGGAGAGATCCAAGGCGCATGTCGCAGAACCTGAACTGTGTTATCAAGAGAAGATTCGCTCAGTAGCATCAATCTCTGTTATCACCAGGAAGACCATAACTGCCCGTCCCATCATTACTGCCCTTATTAATTATTTGCAAACAGACTGATTGGGGGGAGAAGCTGTGTCAGATTTGACCTTTTGTCACTATCTCGGAAACTGGAGATGGACAATATTAAGCGATATCCGTTAAAAGGAAAACAGGGCAAAACCCACAGGCCCGGTTTGCCAGTGGGCGCAGCATCCCGCAGAGAGCCTTCGCCAGCCCTTAGATCAGCACTTCTGCTGAATCCCTCTGCCGGCACCGAGGGCAGAGAGCGGGGACTGCGCGGCCGCGGGCTCGGCTCCCACCCGGGCCAGGAGCCGCCCGGCGGCCTCACACAGCGGGACTGGGCTGCGTTTAGCGCCCGGCAGCGAGAGGCAGCGGGACGGGGCAGCGCCCGGCCCGGCCCGGCTGCGGTCCTTGCCCCGGCGGCTCCCCCGTACCCGGAGCGAGCGGCGGGGCCGATGTGCCGGGGCCCCGCGGGGCACGGGGTAGCTGAAGCCATCCGGCGCTGCCAAACCGTGCAGACACCCCGTTCCGTCAAAAACCCTCAGGCAAGGACAGGTTCCCTCCCCGAGAAGAGCCGGGGTCGCCGCTCATCCCTGTGCCCCCTGCCAGGGCAGCTCCTGGAGCCGGGCACTCGCGGGTTCGCTGCAAGGGCGTCGGGGCGATGAACTCTCTCTGACTCTGGCACAGTCCCTGGAAATAAAAAAGAAAAAAAAAGTCTGTCGGTTTGGCAGAGAAGCAAACTTTGCAGGGCCTTGTCATCTGCAGGGTGCAACATCTGCATGGCTGGGGGGCTGGGGAGAGCACGATTAAAAATGTGCAAATGGAGCAAGTGCTCGTTCATTAATAAAGTACTTGCAACATTAGGTTTAAAATGGTACAATAAAATATGCAGTGCATTTTCCGGAGGAGAACAACTTGAATGCATTTTTTGAATACGTGTTTTGTTTTATTGTGGGCAGATTTTGCCATTTTACTTTTTCTTCCAGAGGTGATTCCATGATCTAAGAATATCTTTGTTAAAAGTAAATGGACTGCCACTAGGAATTAACCAGCTGTGGACTACTGAGCAGTTCTGCTAATAGTGATCTCCATGTAAATGTTTTCCCTGCAGCTGGAGAAGCTGCAGTGCTCAATCTGCTTTAGCATGGCTGAATTGACCCCTGAGCTTTTAGAGAAGATCAGACCTGTACTACCAGTAAAGCAACCAACCAGCCAAGGGTGATTTAAAGATATCTCTCCTGGACGGGCCTTGCTGCATGAAGATGATGAGATTTTATGGCATGCAGTTGTGCTTTGAAGTCATCAAGGGATGACAACACATTACTATTTTTTGGCCAAGTTCACTCTTTTGCCTGCTAAAACTTGGGCTTTATTTCTAATACAGAGGCTTCAGCTTCCTACAGTGGATCTCACTGCCTATCTGCTAGATGTCTCTTTTCTCACACGGTAAAGTGGGTTGTATTTTGATATATCTTCTTCCTGGTAAGTCGAATAGACTGTGATCTTTACATCTCCCGCAATCCCTAAGGCTCAAACTTATACAAATTTTCCAGATGTGGAACCACTCCCTCCTGTTTCTGAAGATGCCTTGCAGAAAGGGATACTAGGATAGCACCCAACAGTGCTCAATAGTGGTTCATACAGTGCTAAGATAACGTCTGTATTTCTGATCAAAATTTTCCACTTAGGTATCTAAACTTATCATTAGTCCTTTTTGGAGACTTCTGTTCTGTCACTGACCCCATAAATCCTTTCCCAAGCTACTGCTTTCTGCATTCTGGTCACCCCCACAGCAAGGGGAACCATGAGGCATATGGCACTCCTCCTTTGTAAGGACCAGTGGGCCTGTGACAGACCAGTTAGAATGGTTAATTCATCAACCTTCATGATTGTTCAGTCAGGTAGAAATGGATGGGTTGAAAATATACAATGTTTACTTCTCCTACCTGTCTGAAAAGGCAGGAGCTTGAAAAGGAGTATCAGTTAAATAAATAACCTAAGGAATGTTGCTAGAGGAAGACCATAGAGTACCCAGTAGGAGCCCAGGCATGAAGAGGGTGCCAAAAAGCTGCTTGCCAGTGGTACCAGGGAGAGCTGAACAGGCAAGATGATCCTTAAAACTAAGAGGTGCTCTGGGGGTCACAAGGCAAGGAAGTCTGGACAAAAGGACCTAAGAAGCGAAAAGATGCTACACTAAAGAAATGAATGTAGAACCTTTAATTTTTCTTGAGTTTACCCCCTCACATTGTTCAAATAAATGATAATTCATTATATAATCAAACTCAAATTCAATATGAACATATTGTATTTTGAAGAGTTTGGAGGTAAATTCGCACTGTGTGTTTGGAACAATTTGAGTGTTTAATTGTTTGCTCTTCTAAACACCAAGAGTTAGAATTCAGGTCTAATGTTGAATTTGGCTCTTGCACACACTCTCACTTCCTTCTCTCCAGTACTTGAACAAAAAATATAATTCCTGATGGCAGAATCAATCTTTGATGGATGCATGACAATGCAAACATTAATTTTTCTGCTAAGGAATACGAGGCCAGCATACAGGAAAACTACAATTAGTAAAAACAATCCCTCTCAATGATAAGTAAATGTGTCTAAATTGTTTAATCTTTATATATTTGCAATTATTTGATAGAATTATCAAACTGTTACCACCAACCGATAGGAAAAGGAGATATCATGATAAGTGGCAGTGGTCCATCAGGATATATTTTTAAATATTCTTTTCCTCACACCTTTTTTTTTTTTTGACATTATTGAAGTGTACCTGGCAGGAATCCCCTGAATGAGCCTGACCCCAGTCAAGGCTGTCAGCCTATGGCTGTGGTCAGAAGCATGACCTCTTTCTGAAGTCAAAATCTGGGGTTTCTTTACATGGAAAGCATGCTCACTGTACAGAAGGGGAATGGGGAACAAAAACCACTGTTAATTCCTAGATACCTATGAAACTTGTATCTGTCAGTAACTGTCGATGCACATTTAGCACAAATCATTAAGAGTCAAAAAACATTAATGTATAGATTACCCTCATTATCAGTAAAGCAGATCAGCTCTATGAAGTCTATATATCAATGGGAGACAAAACTTTCTATTTCTGCCACTAATTTAATTTGTTCTTTTACAAGCTATCACCCAGCAACTGCTATGAAATAAACTGGTGGCTTCAACCCAGGTGCTACTAAAATCTGGTTCCATCTTAGAAAAACACCTTTGTTTCTTGTGCTTCACACAACAGCTCATCATGTAGGCCAAGGAATGATTTGACAGGAAAACAGTTTTCTTGATATGTGGGAAATTAATCCAGAAACAGTGCAAGAAATTTTAACCATGAAAATAAAGCTCATGCTTTCATATTTTAGGATGAAATTTTCTTTGGAGAGAGGAAATACTCTTTTGGGCTGATCCTTGTAATAACTATCATATCAACAGGAAATAAAAATATTTGCACTTAAAAAGAAGTATTATTTCATACTAGTATGACAGGATAAGGCCTACTTATTCCCATTTCTTTCTGAAAGGTAATAAGGGAATTCCAGTGACATCTCCAGGTGCTTCAAATAGTGCGTAAATTGCATTTGAAGCCTATAAACAGTATTAGATAAAAGTTCTACTTGCAAAGTACAAGTGAGCAAAACTCTGTCTTTCCAGCAGTCTGAAAATCTACTGTCAGCACTGAGGCCTCTATCACCAGGCTCAACAC